TCTCATTTCGTTTATTTACTTTGATATTTTCACGATACTTAGAATTCACCTACGCGTTTATTTACTCTAAGGCGTTAATATCGCCTTAATAGACCGAATCTTACATATTTTAAAGTTAGCAAAGGTATTAATTACTTAGACTACTTAAGCGTAAAGGTAGATTAACTACCACAAAACTGATGTGTAAAATAGAAAAAAGTGTTAATTAATAAAACCATTAAAAACCATTTAGGAAACTTGTTCCTCGTACTATTAAGAGTACGTTTGTAATTTACGTATTGCTTAAGAGTACGTTTATAACATAGAGTCTAATGTGGAGGCCCGGCTATTACACCTCCACGCGCTATTTGAGAGGGTCCCTATCCGAGTGATATACCGCTGCACGCTCCCACCTCTATTACATAGAACGAATGGGCTCCTACAAGGCTCAATCGTTGGCACACAACCTTTTATTATCTACATGATTCCTTCCCAAGCTCCTCCACTCTTATTTATTTGTCGACGACACACGTACCGCTCCAGTTCTTCTTAGACGACATGGATGCTTAGGGACCCAAATCTGGCCTTGAACAGGGTGTCATCAAACCCCGAGTACGATCTACCGACTTGGGACACGCGGCGCCAACCATCCGCATAAATGTTACGCTTATCACGCCGACGCTCGCAGACGCCCCTTGGAACATACAGTATCTCTCCCTGAAGATGACACCCACACGTGCCAAGCCTAAACTCTTCAAATATCCGGGGTTCCCTCTGCCCAACGGAATACTAAGGATCAACCTCGCCAGACATTTGGAATCCCTGGTTGCAGCATTGTCCCTGGGTATCGTCTCCTTTCGCCCTGATGGCTTCAATAGCTTTAGCTGGTGACACCCCCGAAACCGGCTGGTGCTGTTCAAAACATTCATCCTATCCACGGCTACATATGGACTGAAAGGATGCACTGGAACTCCTGTTCGAGCGCTATAACTCAGCACTCATCCAAGCAGCAACCACATCATCACGGGCACTAAATACTCTATGTTTTCTAAAAAGCAAAGGAAACGACTCCACCTTTGTGGCCTGCTCCCCACGCGACCATTCGCGGACTACCTCGGAAGTTGCCTGGGAATACAACTCGACTCAATGCCCAACACAAAACCACTCATCCCTCTGACACAACCGGCCTGGGCCCACGACAAACCATCACTGCACTTCCCGTACAGTATCTATGCGCACCTGAAAACTGTATACAAGACCACGGGCGGGCGTACACCCAACCATGTAGCCCTCGGCCAACGCTGTGACGATGTTAGGATGAACTTACCGAAATATGGGTCCAACAAGGAGATCGTGGCAATGGCCCGGCGCCAATACTACTACCAACTGGTCATGGGCAAACCGCCAACCTCAAACCGGGACAAAGCCAGACACGTCAGTTACAACCGCTGCTTCGAGCCTACACCAATCCGGCTCTGTGCTATTATTATAACGAATACGTATATGCTCACATTCCTCGACTACCGCACCGACGGATGTTTTTTCCTGTCTGCCCCGGTGACCACAGATTCACCTCCAACCACTTTGCCTGCACCCAACAATTGATCCGACAAATTCTGGTAGGCCAGAAACCGCCTCCCATTGGCCCTGACCTCCTCCAGCAATTACAGGAGCGTCACGACCCTCCACGAACACCTTGTATCTTTTATCCAGCATGTAGAAGAGCCACCGTACCCTCACCCGTCTCTGACACATCCAACATATGTTCTACATACCCCGGCTAATCACGCTGTTGAAATACTACTTCCTCCAAACCAAGTCATCGCGCTTGTTGGTTCCGTCTTTGATACTCCCGATCCTGGCCAACCACCACATACCGAGTGCATCCAGAGTCTGGTGGCATCGTTTCACCCACAACCTCGCTCCTCAAGTGAGTTATGACGGATAACCTGATCCTACTCGGCGGTTCGTACTCTGCACTCACCCATTCCACGGCACTACACGGCGCAGACACGATCCGTACCACAAAGGCGGGTACGCTACTTAGTAGGTCAGCAAGCGAATATGAGGGATTTTGATGGTGTCAGTTTTAATGTCACCACCGACCTGAATTGACCCAGCGCATATCTCCATCGTCAACGCACTTGGCCCAAGCTTCAAACGGGGATTTACTGACCACTTCTTCCTATCGAACAACGGCTATGAGAGCCACACCATATGTGTCTTCATCGTAACTTAACTTTTTTGAAATATATAATATTATCCCTATTGTACCTTCTCTGCAACTAAATTTCAGCTGCTCACATGATGCCTTTTCGCATAAGTTGTGGCTCACACAGAACCGTAGCTATTTTTAGAATGTTGCGCTTGGCAGACTTAATCCACTCTCGGGAGTTGGTTGAGAAACTTAATCTACTCTCAGGAGTCGGTTAAGTATTAACTCAACTCTCGGAAGTGATTTAAGCAACCTGATTAGCTCTTGGGAGTGAGCTATCTCTGATGACTTCTATAAATCGAGACGGTTTCTTGCTGTAAAATTTGTAAAATTTGGCCTGCTACTTGTAATCTCTCAGCGTCTACACGAAGACACATTTCATATTCAAAAGTCAGAGGGATTACAAGACGCGAACAAAAGAACCCACAACAGCCAAGAGTATACCATCTTGGAAACTAACATGCCCATAACCATATCAACTATAGATTGGATGTTACACCCCAGATTCTACAAAAAAAGTTGAAAAACGGTTTGGGAAATTCACAGAAGATATGTTGTATCAGCACACAATGCACACACAGATAAATACTATACCAAAGATCAAAATGCGCTCCCTCCAACAAGTCATCCAACAGGGGTCACTGGATCAACAACACGGACGTGACCGAAGAGATGGCGGCCACGGAGCAAGAGGCTGAAGGACTCGGGGGTCATTCGCCGCTGCGAGGAACAGGAGGAATACCTGGACCACTCAGCGTTTATGATCCTTAAGTCGGAAAATCCTGAGTTCGAAGGACAAAAACAAAGCAGCGGAGAAACACTCATACCGTGCGGATGGTCTAAAGAAACTATCTCAGATCGCTTGTCGCGGGGATGTAGCTATGTCGTCCGGCATAACGACGGCTTCTATGCGTTGGCTATGGCCGATCCCAAGCTCTGGCAGTTTCGGGATCACCAGGGCCAACTTTGGTGCTTCCTGGCGCTCCCTATGAAGGCTATGTTCTCACCAGCATGGTTCCACCTGCTGATGGATATGTTCATAGGGGCTACGTTCTCACCAGCATGGTTCCAGATGCTGATGGATGTGTTCCGCTGGATATCGAGAAGAAGAGGAATCCGAATGATTCTGTACGTGGTCGACCTTCAACTATTAGGTCACCCACGGATCATCATGAAGCAGAAGTGATACATCGATCAGCTTCTGAACGCACTGGGGTAGGGATAGTGAACACAGTGACTACTATCTCCAATCCCATATATACTATATATATATATATTTATATATATATATATATATATATATA